ACATAATCCACCCCTCGCCTCTCCTCCAAACCCCTTGGTCCCAGCCTGGAGCCCCCTTCTGCACCCCACACCCCTCATCCCCAACCCCACCCAACAGTCCACAGCCCCAGCTGGAGCCCTCACCCCAACCCCAATTTTGTGAGCATTCCGGCCCTGCCCTGCCATTTCCATTTCCATACCCCCATGTGGCTCTCGGGCCAAAGAGTTTGCCCTCCCCTGCTGTCCATGTAAAAACTCATCGGAGAGGCACACCTGGCTCCCCCCTCCCCCCCCAGCCATCCTCTCCCAGCAAAAGTTGCCATGCCAAGGGCGGGATTACGTTGGGAGCAGGAGACCCCCACTCTAGCTGAGAGTTGTTTTGGGTCCCATCCCAGTGCGTTGACATCAACAGCAAAACATCAGTAGGATCTGGATGCAGGCCCAGAGAGCCACCCGCCTAGGAAGGGGAATGTCGGGATAAGCTCTTCACGGGGGCTGTTCTCTTCCCGCCAGCGTGAAGTTTATCAGTAAGATCCAGTACGTTCACAGTCTGGAAGAGCTGGAGCAGATGATCCCTATGGAGCACGTGCAGATTCCTGACTGCCTCGTGCAGTAAGTATCCCAGTGGCTCTCACCTGAGAACCCTGGTGTGATCTGGCCACCCTTCCCATGGGCCCTTTTCCCCCGGGCTTCGGAGAGGAAGGATGGTCCTGGGATCAAGGTCTGGTCTTCAGGCGGCCTGGCTGCAGTGCCTCATCCGTACTCCACCCCAAACTCATTGATTGGCCCTGGGCAAAACCTCCCCTCTCTGCACGTGGCGTGGCCCCATTCCGGCGGGCAGGAAACATGAGAGAGCGAGCACGTTAACTCTGTGTCTGCTGGAGCCGGGACTTGCCCCAAGCTCTGTGGCCTTCAGGGCGAAGGCTGCGTTTTCCTGATGGCGACTTGTAAAGGCATCTGTCTGGTTTGTTGCAGGTACGAAGAAGAGAGAATCAAAGCCAGGAAAGAAAGGTAAAAAAGTCAGTGGGGTGGGGGGGATGGGGCTTGTAGTGTCCTAAAGCCGGGGTGGGGCCTTTCTTTGGGTCAGAGGCCACTGCGCTTCAAAAAAAATCAGTCGGGGGCCGCACACAAGTGAGAAGGAAAAGAACGTTCCCCATCTTCCCCTCCCACCAGAGCCTAGGGGTCCCAGGCTGGTAGGTTGGGTGTGCTCCAGCCCCACGGTGGGGTAACAGGGGGGCTGGAGCAGCAACACAGGCTCCCCAATGCGGGGGAGAAGCCCTGAGCCTCAGGGGCCAGATCCAGGCAAGCCAGAGACCGTAGGTTCCCCTATCCTAAAGCTTTTCCTCTTCAAGCAGTTCCTAGAAGCAGACGGCATGTTCCGCCCCCCTCTGACGGGCTCCTAGGCAGAGATGCAGCCAGGCAGCTCAGTTACAGCCAGTACATTCTGCCTTCCTGATAACGCAGCCAGGCTGTCTGCTCTGTACTTGTGTGAAGCTTGCCAACGGCCTAGGGATTTTCCCTCCGGTTAGCTAGCTTCAGTTCACCATGCACCTTTGTCTTTAGTGAAGATACTCCTAGGGTTGCCAAGTGTCCAGTTTTTGCCCAGACAGTCCAGTATTTGTGGCCTCTGTCCAGAAAAAAAACAGAAAATATTTTCTGTTTTTCTCAGACGGAAGGCCGGCGGGCACTTTCTTCCCCTGCCACGTCTGTCAGGGGCAGAGGGAAGAGGGGAACATGGGGATTTAAAGGCGCAGTGCCTTTTTTTCTTCTTCTTCTTCTTTTTTGCTCAACAACTTTGGTTCCATTTTTTTTTTTTTTTTTTTGCTCAACCCATTTTTTTCCTGCCACGTTCGATATTTTGTGTGAAAGTATCTGGCGCCCCTCCATACTCCCCTGTGGTAAATCGGGGATCTGGATGCAGGACAATAGGAAAAACCTGTCCCCCACAGCAACACTGCGCAGAAACCGTCCTCCCCACCCCCAGAATAAACCTGCAGTGAAATAACTGAGCCTGATTCTCATTTCAGCAAAAGGCTTGTCTCCATGCAAGCCACCCTGTTCAATGGACCCTTCTCAGTGAAGGCGCTAGTGAAAAAGGGACCAATATTTGGAAATACATGTGGCTATGTACTTAAATAAAAACCAATTTACCTCTCTTGGGGCCTTGCCTGCCCAAAAAATTCACTGTCCTGCTAGGGGTTCATCAACACCCGCCCACCCCACCTCTAGTGTTGATGCAGATTGGTATGTCTTTCTGGGTGTCTGGCTGGTGAGTCTTGCCCACATGCTCCGGGTTTAGCTGATCGCCATATTTGGGGTCGGGAAGGACTTTTCCTCCAGGGTAGATTGGCAGAGGCCCTGGAGGTTTTTCGCCTTCCTCTGTAGCATGGGGCACAGATCACAGCTGGAGGACTCTCTGCATGTTGGGGCCTTCAAAGTATTTGAAGGCTTCCACATCTGAGATATAGGTGAGAGGATTATTCTAAGAGGGGTGGGCGAGATTCTGTGGCCTGCACTGTGCAGGGGGTCAGACTAGATGATCATAATGGTCCCTTCTAACCTTAAAGTCTATGAGTCTATGAGTCTATGAGCAAAAAAGTTGCTTATACCAGTATAGCTTATTCCTGAACAGGACGGGGAATAGGCTGCATCGGTGCAAAGCACCTTTATAACTCGTGCAATCGTGTCCACGCCAATGGCACGTCTACACTGCAGGTCGAGTTAAGCTATGCCACTTCAGCTGTGTTATTTGCGGCTGAAGTCCAAGTCGCTTAACTTGGCTTCGGACGCTGCCTACACAGCAGGACCGCAAAGGAAGACCGCTCCTTTGACTTCCTGTATTCCTCGTGAAATGAGGGGTCCGGAATTCCGAGTAAGAAGCCCATTCTTTCGAAATTATTTCAAAATATCAGGCTTGCTGTGTAGACGCGCACTCTGTTATTTCGAAATAGGCGCGTAGTGAAGACATAGCTTCAGGTTGCACAATTCTACCTATTTTGGTTAAAAAAAAAATCACACACACACCCCCGCCATCAATATCATTATACTAGTGCAAAACCCGTGTGCAGACCAGGCCTATGGGTCAGATCCAGCCAGACTTGCATTTCTCTGCATTGAGTTCTGGCTCCATTAAAATCAGTGGCAAAACTCCCAGGGATATGGCTTCACCCAGGGGATAAGATGCTACTCCACAGAAATAAGGTTGCCAGACTCTAGCTCAGGGGTGAGCAAAAGAGCCTCCGCAGGCTGGATTCAGCCCGCCAAGTGGGTTGATCCGGCCGGCAGAGGCCCTGCCACTCCCCTGCCCCTAGGCCAATTAGGATCTGGAGGCGGGGGAAGCAAACGAAATTTCCTCCACCCTGCTAGGAGCATGCCACACTTTAAAGTGCGGCATGCTCCTGGCAGGGCAGGAGGAGACTTCACGCGCTCCCCCGCCCCCAAGCTCTGATTGGCCAGGGGCATGGGTGCTTAGTGGAAAGGGGAGGGGGCAAAGGGGCTCCCCCACCCCCAAACCAATCATGGTCTGTGGGTGGGAAAGCCCGGGCCTGGGGCCACTTCAAACATTTTTGAAGCGGCCCCCGGCCAAAAATTATTTCCCACTCCTGCTCTAGCTCCAAGTTATTAGAAATAATGGGTGCAATATTCCTTTAAGGGTTCCAGATGATCAAACGAGAAAAAAAAAAAGATCATCTACAGTTCAAGGACAGCCACTAACATGAAATTAGAGCAGGCAACAGTCCCAAAGGGCTAGTCACAGGAGAAAAGAGGACTCACTCGAGTAACAGCTGCAAGATCAGGACCATCATGAGCAAAATAGGTCCATAGCACTTCTCATCTCCACGCCAGAAAGGCAAGACGGGTCTGAAATACGCAGGAAGACACGGAATCTCCGTATTTTAATAGATTCATCGATTAAAGGCCAAACGGAACCATTTTCATCGTCTGGTTTGTCCTCCTGCATAAACAGAGGTCAGAGAACCTCTCCGATTAGTTTCTGCATCAAGTCAAATCACGTTGGGTGGAGCTACAGCATCTGGTTCAGAACGAGGCCCAGTTTTGATTGCGACGGAGAATCCAGCACAGCCCTTCCACCCTGGCTGCTCCGATTTGGTAGATTTCAACTATATTTTCTCATTACAGGGCAGAGGAGAAACAAGACCTGGCAGAGAAAGAAAGGTAAAGGCCGTGAAGTGGTGGGTGAGCGGCACGCACTTACAAAATGACTCTGGATCCCGTCCCTGCCTTATTATTACCAGTTCTGTTCCACTGAAAACAGTTCACCCTGTTGCCAAGAGCAGGGGGAAAAATGTAGCTAGCAAATCAGCCAGATCTTCAGAAGGAAAAGGAAGGGAAACGTTACATTTGGCCGGAACTTGGCATCACCAGCTCTGCCCCCGTGCATGTCATGCTTCCAGTGTGTTTATGGCCCACGGTGAAAGGGCAGCATGTTAAATTGCAAGTCCCTCCTGAGTCATGGAAGCAGAGCGCTCTGCCCTGGATAAATCCTGTGACTCACCCAGGGACGCACCTACCAAAGGATGTGAAACCAGAGGCAGAGGGACAAGAGAAGATTTAGGGTTGCCAGGAGACAAGAGAAGATTTAGGGTTGCCAGCCTTTTCATTTCTGAAAACTAGCCCCAGTGCAGGAGCACCCAAACCTCCTCCCACCCTTGCCTCGACTCTTCTCCTGAAGCCCCGCCCCTACTCTGCCTCTTCCCCTGAGGCCCCGCTCCTACTGCCCCCCTTCCCCTGAAGCCCCGCCCCTACTCTGCCTCTTCCCCTGAGGCCCCGCTCCTACTGCCCCCCTTCCCCTGAAGCCCCGCCCCTACTCTGCCTCTTCCCCTGAGGCCCCGCTCCTACTGCCCCCCTTCCCCTGAAGCCCCGCCCCTACTCTGCCTCTTCCCCTGAGGCCCCGCTCCTACTGCCCCCCTTCCCCTGAAGCCCCGCCCCCTGCTTTGAATTTCAGCCCCGCCTTGGGATCAGGACAGCCAAGCTCAGGACTTCAGCACCTGCTGGGGCTCAGGGGTTCCTCCCAGGGCTGGGGCACCATATTTCAAATTGTCTGGGGCTCCTGGACATGAGCTCCATGGACCCATGCGTTAGTCCACCAGTGGCCCTCACCTGGTTAGGGTGCTCCAGAAGCCTCCTCCAGCTGCAGGAAATGCAGTAGCTGCTGCCTTCAGAGCCCAGTGAGTAGGCAATTCTGCAACTCCCCCTACACCAGCTTTGGGACCCTCCAAACCCCCCTTTTGGATCAGGACTCCCACGGTTACAACACCCCGGAGTCTCAGATGGAAATATCTGAAATCATGAGCCTAGCCAATGTTAAGAGCCTATGACCGTGAAATGGACCCAAGTGAATGTGAATTTGGTAGGGGCCTACCTAGATTGAACAAAGAGACGAGAACTTTACAAAGCTTTACGGCTTCATAGCCATTTCAGCCCCTTTTTCGAGTACGATTTAATTCCTTACGTCTGCCTGGGACTTTGTCTTTGTGCACACTTTTAATAATGAGGTGCTAAAAGCCAGCTCCCTTACTCGTGTCTGGCCCCCCAAGCTGGGTGTGGGCATGAGCCTAGGAGTGGAGCCCCAAGTCAGGGAGCTGCGACCCCAAGCGTGGGGTAAGAGAGTGGCAGCCGGGCCCATGGGGAGCAGGAGCTGGACCACAACCAGGACCAGAGAGGGCCAGCTGGGACCCCAGACGCAGGGGGTGGCTGGCTGGCAGCCAGGACTCCAGGTGCAGAGGAAGGGGGCTGCAGAGTCACGGCTAAACCCTGGGGGTGCTATAGCCCCCCCTACTCACCCTCAGCTCCCATGCCTGTGTTTCAGAGTGGGGCAGCTGATGGGTATCTCTCTGACTGTCACGCTCAGAAACTGTCAGCTGGCACTTTGGGGAATGACCTTAAAACACAGCTGGGTGGCTGCCAGGAATTCTGGAATGGTCCAAATTAGGAAACATTCTAAGCTTGGCGCCAGGCCTCGCTGAGTGACCTGTGGTCCAACTCCTGATCTAGAGAATGCCACCTTCTCGGTACTGTGACTGTACAAGGACTATGCGGCTCAGCTTGGTCTCGCTCCGTTATTGGTTTTCATCATCTCTGGCCGTGCTCTTTGGCTTCCTACAGCTGGCAACACTAGGGGTGTGTCTAAACTACATGGCTCCATCGATGGAGCCATGTAGAGTAGGCTGATCGGCAAAGGGAAATGAAGCCGCGATTTAAATAATCGAGGCTTCATTTAAATGTAAATGGCTGCCGCCCTGAGCCGACAAACAGCTGATCAGCTGTTTGTCGGCTCAGGGCGGCAGCCATTTACATTTAAATGAAGCCTCGATTATTTAAATCGCGGCTTCATTTCCCTTTGCCGATCAGCCTACTCTACATGGCTCCATCGATGGAGCCATGTAGGTTGACTGTGGAGCATCCAGACTACTGCGCTGAGCCAACAAACAGCTGATCGGCTCAGCACGGCAGCCATTTACATTTAAATGAAGCTGCGATTATTTAAATCGCGGCTTCATTTCCCTTTGCCGAACAAACAGATCTACATGGCTCCGTCGACGGAGCCGTGTAGTTTAGACGTATCCTGGGTGCTCAGGGAAGGGAGCCAGCGAATCACAATGTCACTCGGAGGGGTCTCCTGACGTTGTGCCGCCATGTTTATATCTGCGGTAGCGTCACGGCAAGAGAAAGGGACATGTTCCGCTGCCAGGGCAAGCCGGGTAACTCCTTTGACCTCATGGAGGCCCCTCGAAGCCGAGTCGGATCCTCCGTCGTCACATGTGAATGCAAAGCAATGGCAAATGTCAGACTGCTCCATGACCTCATGACTACTTTGGCTCCAACTCGATTTAACACGGTCTTTCCTTTGCGCTCCCTCCTCCTGGCTGCGGAGGGGAAAGGTTGGTTGTCCCAGTTGTTCTCCCCCCTGTGTGAGCTCAGACCTAGGAGACGCCCCAGGGGCTGGCTGTGTTGTGCCAAAGACCCACATGGGACTCTAGGGCCGTAGGTTGAGGACGACGGGCGTGCAATGCAGAGTTGCTTTTTCACTGTGATGTTTGTCTCCCGAGCAGGCCTGTGCTGCCGAGGGAGGACCAGGAAACCAGGTGGGAACGAAAATCTGTTTCTAATTCAGAATTTAAAATGTGTTTGCATTCTTTCGGCTGGGCAGTGATCCTGCTTTGCATGCCTACCACCAAATGCTCTAATTCCACTGCTTACAGACGTATAGGGGCTGCCAGACTGGAGCCGATCCAAGGGCCATATAGCCCAGTGTCCTGTCTCTGACGGTGGCCAGGGTCAAATGCTTTGAAGGAAGGTGCAAGCAAACAATTGGGGACTAATCTGCCATCCACAGAAGGCTCACCCTGAGCTGTAATTGTTGGCGTATGCCCTGAAGGACAAGGTTTAAAATCCCTTCCAAAATTGTTCTTGCCATTACCTGTGACACTAGTCTGGGTCTAGCTGAAATAGCAGACCTGTCCTCTTGGGATTAAGCTGATATTCACCACGCATGACTGGTGCCAGGTCTACACTCAAAAGTTAAGTCAACCCAGCTGTGTCATCCAGGGATGTGAGAAATCCACACGCTTCAGGGTGTGTCTAGGCTACAGGGTTTTTTCAAAAAAAGTGGCCTTTTTTCAAAAAAAACTTCCCCTGCGTCTAGACTGCTGCCGTGTTCTTTCGAAAGTAAATCGAAAGAACGCGGCGGTTTTTTCAATCGTGGAAAACCTCATTTTACGAGAAATAACACCTTTTTTTTTTTCAAAAGTGCTCTTTTGGAAAAAGGTGTTATTGAACGCAAACTGTGCTTTTTCGAAAGACAGCATCCAGACTGCCTGGGTGCTCTCTTTCGAAAAAACGGCTCACTTTTTCAAAAGTACTGCTTGCAGTCTAGACGCTCTCTTTCGAAAGAGGCTTGTAGTCAAGACGTACCCTGAGTGAGGGAGATAAGCCAACCAGTGTAGCCAGCATGTGGTCCATGGGAGAATTCTCCTGTTACCCTAGCAACCGCCTCTTGGGCAGATGGACTCCTTACAGCAGTGGGAGGACTCTTCCCATCGGTGTATCAGTGGTGTCTCATGCAGGTGTTTTAGTGGCACGAGTGTCTCGTGGATGGTGTTGAATAGCAAAAAAAGGTGTAGCTATTTGGAAGGGTTTCGAGTTAGCAAATCCCCAAGTGGCGGCGTGTAGACACTGTGCTCCAAACGATCGCTCGCTGTAAAAAAGTATGAATTATGAGACTCAAAAAGTGCGAGGAACAAGGGAGCTTTTTATCTGCTCTTGCCCCATTACCAAAGCGCAGGTGGGCTTTTAGGTGCGTTGCGTATCTGTGGGACCCCAAGAAGTTGCCTGCACTGATTATGCTTAAGGGCTGGCCATCAGGAATTACAGTAACTAATTAGAAATGCTCATTAACACCAGGGTAACAGGCCAAAGGAAACAAACATCCACCCCTAAAAGGCTAGTGGTCTACACGCGTAATATTTACAAAGTTTCAGCAGGGTCACCAAGTAAGGGAAAGTCTACACTTGCTCCCTATCTTGAGATAGGGATGCAAATGTAGTGTACCGAAATTGCTAATGAAGCAGGGATTTAAATATCCCACGCTTCATTAGCAAAATCTCACCCGGCACGCTAGTTCGAATCGCAGCTGATTCGAACCAGGAAGTGCGTGCCGGGACGCGTTAGTTTGAACCAAAGCCCCTTGGTTCGAACTAATGTTACTCCTCATTTTTGAACTAACGTTATTCCTCTTTTTTTGAGGAGTAACGTTAGTGTGAACCAAGGGCTTTGGTTCAAACTAACACATCCTGGCGCGCACTTCCTGGTTCGAATCAACTGCAATTCAAACTAGCGTGCCGGGCGAGATCTTGCTAATGAAGCATGGGATATTTAAATCCCTGCTTCATTAGCAATTTCGGTACACTCCATTTGCATCCCTATCTCGAGATAGGGAGCAAGTGTAGTCGTCCCCTAATGGTGTGCCTACACAGCAAAGCTATTCCAAAATAACTATGCGAGTGTCTATACAGCAATTCCGTTATTTTGAAATAATTTTGAAATAACAGATGGCTTTTTCCGACTTCTGTAAACCTCATTCTATGAGGAATAACGCCTATACCGAAATAGCTATTTCGAAAATAAGGCCTGTGTAGATGCTCCACTTCTGCTATTTCAAAATAGCCCCTCCCCTAGGAAATTCTAAGTTATTCCTCCTGGGGCGCTAAATTGAGATAGCACGTCTACATTAGGGAAGCCTGCCTCGGACTAATTTTGAGGCTTCCCTGCAGTGTAGACATGCTATTTCAGAATAACTAGTGCAGTTTAGACATAGCCTCACTTTAAAAACAATGTGTGGTCCTGTGGCAAAAATATATGTAGGATCATGAGCTTTCATGAGTAGAACCCACTTCGTCAAATGAGATTCATCTGAGGAAGTGGGTTTCAGTCACGAAAGCTCATGATCCTATATATTTTTTGTTAGTCTCTTAGGGTATATCTACACTTGCACCCTCTTTCGAGAGAGGGATGCAAATGAAGACATTCGAAATTGCAAATGAAGCCAAAATTTAAATATCCCATGCTTTGTTTGCATATTCGCATTATGGCGCTATTTCGAAATAGCGCTGTTTTGAAATAACAGACGCTGTTAAGATGTGGTTATTTCGAGAGAAAACCCTTCTCTCGAAATAACCCTTATTCCTCATACAATGAGGTTTACCGGGTATTTTGAGAGAAGGGTTTTCTCTCAAAATAACCGCGTCTTAACAGCGTCTGTTATTTCGAAAGAGCGCCAAAACGCGAATATGCAAATGAAGCGCAAGATATGTAAATTCTGGCTTTAATTGCAATTTCAAATATCTTCATTTGCATCCCTCTCTCAAAAGAAAGTGCAAGTGTAGACATACCCTTAAGGTGACACTGGACTATTCATAGTTTCAAGAGTGTAGTTGCTGAGATTTTCAGTGCGTGAAGCCGAGATGGGGAAACGCAGGCCCAGGGCCCGGATGCAGCTGATCCCGAGGCTCAGGGCCCGAGGCTCATGGTCCCCGCCCAGCATTAGGGAGCCCGAACTGGTGCTCCAGCCCCACTACCCCACCCCCGCTACCTCACCGTGGGACTAGAGCACACAAAATCTACTAGGATGGGCCCACTACACTCTGGTGTGCGAGGGGAATGTGGGCAGAATGTTTGGGGGCTTTTTTGCCTCTCACTTGTGTGCGGCCCCTGACTGGTTCTTCTGTGGGTCAGCAGCCCCCGACCCAAAAAAGGTTCCTTGCTCCTGGCATAAAGGGAATGTATAAATCACAGCACAGAACAGTGTTTCTCAACCAGTGGTACGAGAACGCTTAGGGATACTCAAGAGAAGCCTGTGGGGTACGTCAATACAACTGACATTTGGAGAAAACTGAATTTCTGTTTTAAGTTTTATAGTGCTTTATCATTTTTGTACTTCTTACACCCAAAAATGTCATCGCCCGCCCAGCTACAATTAAGTTGTTTAAACAAATGTGTTGCATCGTAGACAAAAAAATGATGTGTCTGAAAACTATAGGTATTGGGGGTACTTCTAATTTTTTTTTAAAAGGGGTACTTTATAAAAAAAGGTTAAGAAACACTAGCAGAGAATACCCAGACTTCTCTAAGGGCCACATGAAGGCTGACCATGCCACTCTTCCTCAGATGAATAGGCCACAGCCATCAATGGGATCATGTGTGTGAATAAACGCAACTTGGAACAAGTAAAACTTTGCTGGTTTGGACCCTTAATTCTTATAGGGCCAAATGGCCATTGCCGTTAATAGGCGTCTTGGCAAAGTAATGCTTTCATGCTGTGACCCGCCATGTCTAGTTTGCAGAATTTTATGGAGGGTTAAGCTCGTGCGTATCTTTGGGAGGCTTAGCTGTTTGGCTTTCAAGGCAGAAGATTGATTGCTACCATTTGCTGTCTAAAACTGTCCCTGTCTTTCTCTCCCATCCTAGCATGTCATGAATGGAAATAATGAGGAATGAAGGGAACCAAAGGAGGATGCAGTCTGGCAGTCACCCACTGTAAATGCCCTTCCTGGTATCAGATCTTGTCATCGTCTCATTCCAACTCCTATAAGATCAAGGCACAGAGATGCAAAGTCCTTTAACGCTTCTGGAAACATTTAATTTCAAGAAAGAATAAACCAACAGCAGCACTTTCGAGGACAAGCTCCAACCTCTGTTTCTAGGCTGGTCTGTGGGGAGAGCTAAGTTGTGCAAATGAATGTTTCTCTCTTAGCACATAAATATCACCCAGAGTCCATTACAGCCACCTGCCCAAAAGAAGAGGTCTATTTTTTTTATTTATAAACTCCTTCCCTAACTTGCTGCTGGCCAGCACCATGCTGTTTTGCTTTCCTTTGCACATCAGTTTCCACAACATAGCAATTCCAATGGTCAAGGACCTTCATTAACTAACACGGGAACTAGGAAGAGCAACTTTCATCCCTTTCAGATGCAAGTGAATGCTTCTTCCAGTAGACGTTGAATGTCCACCAAGTCTTTCACCGACACATTTCCCCCACCCCTGGCTCTTTCACCTTGAGATGCCCTTGCTGGGCCAACTCGACAGCTAACTCACAGTGAAACTTACCTCTGAGTAAGTACAATGATGTTTAATTTGTCCTATCCCTCTTCATAAGGCTCTCGCAGATGAAAAACTACACTCTGAAAGAAGGCGCCTCTATTTGGATGCCACCTTAGTCAGAATCCTTCTATAAGCACTTTTTCATGGTGTGGTTCAAAGACCGACCTATTCTTAGGAAAGAGCCTTATGAAGTGGAAAGTTTTTCACCCCTCTTCTTTATATAGACGACACTGGACAATCATCCACTCTTTATACCTCCTATTGCAAAAGCAAGCTGCTAATTATTGGAAATGTTCCTACATTCTCTTCCTGGATGGGGAGACCTGTCTGAGCAAAGGGCAGACTGCAGCGTGACCAGCACAAACCCAGGTTGGGAATCATGCAAATATGAAGATGGAGAATTGTATGGCCACTCAGGCGCTCAGCTCTGAAGTGATGCGGACATGAGATCTGGACTTTAACTCACGGTTTGGGATGCAATGAGGATTCTTGAACAGAGCAGAGAAGAATTTTAACAAGCATACAGCTGGCAATGTTATTTGTAAACTCGTCTGAGGCCAGGGTCAGCTTATGCAAACAATCTCACACATGCACAAGGGAAAACCCCCTTATGGATGAGTTCTGCAGCTGAAGAATTATCGGAGAATTAAAATAGTCAAGGGACATTTTATTACTGGTATCCTTGATGGATCTCGTGTACAGGGCCCCAACAGCCCAGCTATTCACTACCATGTGAAATTAATACCACGTCTCCCTGCAGGAGGGCAAAACCGGCAAAGCAAGATTTTCTGAACAGCAGAATCAGCTTTCTGTAAAATACAAAGCTTTGCTTTTTATTCTTTCCCAATGGCAGAGGAGCAGAGAGTATGCTAGCTCGCCAGGCACATTGCAGTGTTTTTTTTAACTTTTCATGTTCTGCATGCTTCTCCTATACTGGGGGCAGAAGGCTTATAATGGGATGCATGTCTCTTCAAATTGTGTATTTATTTACGGAGCAGACGTATGCATGGAAAGAGGAGAACGCATTAGCCATAGAAGCAGAGGATCCTGATGCTCTGTCTTGCAGCCATGTTAAAAAGTAGTAACAATTCATTTGCTGAGAACTCATCTATCTACTTGACTTCCTGGAAATTTCACTCTTAGCCAATTGCTAGCCATGGAGATGGGATTTCTGTGTTACAAGCAAAAGAACACAGCACGTCAGTTTTTTTGGCATTTGAGTTTATGCTAAATAAGACAAAAAAAAATTCTGCACTAAAATTTCCAAAAACTCGGCAGTCACTTAGTTTCAAGGCAAGAAGCAGTCATCAGAATTTCTAGACTATGTCAAGGTTAATCTGATCCACAAAGCCATCTGTGCACTCACAAACATTGATCCAAAACCCATTGGAGTCCCTAAAAACACTCCCTCGGACATCAAAGAACTGCAAACATTGATCCAAAACCTACTGGAGTCCCTAAAAACACTCCCTCGGACATCAAAGAACTTTTGGAATAATCTCAGAATAAATCAGTACAGATCTTACTGTGGTACAAAAGATGTGAATTCCCTCTTCCCGTTAGAAATTCACGGGCCTAGAATTTTGTTTTCATTCTGAGAACATATTTCAGTGGAAGTCAAAAGTGCAATAAACTCTATAAATTCTGGAGACTAGAAGGGAATTGTAAAGTCACTTTGGCGGAACACTAAAGAGATGTTTGAAAGCCAAACCCCAAAACCTCTAGCACATCTGCAGTAGCTTAACACTTCAGCGAAAATGTTCACAACATCCTAATCTGTGAAATAACACTATTCTGGTACACATTCTGCTGGGGGGGAAACCAACACAGATTTATCTTCAGTCTTGGGACCTTGAGAACTAAAATACTGATTGTGAATAGCAATCTCAATAGATGAACTTTTTAAAGGAAAAATACTGGACGCCATCATATGCAGCATTAGCAGAGAAGCCACACAAAGGATGGACCTAGAGGCTGAAGTACAGTATTAGTATCTTTCGAGGCAGGTCCTCCAAAATGGGGCTGACGTTTCAGGATATTAAAATGCACATCATCTATTTCGTATGCACATACAGGAAAGGAACATACATTGAAATGGAGAACATCAACTTGAATTTTGTAAAATGAACTAATTTTTCAAAAATGACACTCTGTGATAGAGCATTCTTTAAACGGGATATTACAGAGGTTTTAAAATATGTGTCAAGAGATTTTCTGCTTCCAAGTGGATGTCTATAAGGATCTATTCAATATGAATAAAACTGACTGTACAGGAGAAAAAGTGAAACCGATGATACACAAGGTGCTGTCAAATACGCCAAATAAACTGAAAAAATTGACAAAAAAATATCGACAGCATCTTTCAGTTGCAGTGATTTTAGGTTATTGCTTGTAAACATTGTGGCTACAAAAGTCTGAGATGGAAATGTGCCGTTCAAGTTGTCAGTGTCCCTTTAACGAGATCTGTGGCCTCATATCAAAAGACTGGTATTCACGGCCGTGTGAAATTTTAAAATGTTGGTTATGCATCAATAAAATATAAGATCCATAGACTGTAAACATTTCAACACAAAATGGGCACCATTCATTTTACAGAAAGAGCATAATGGGCTGGATTCGACAACAGAAAGCCTCAGTGAATTTCAAAAAGGGTGGGCTTTGGTTCTCCAAAAGAGAGAATTGGAATGGCAAGCAAAGTCCCAGAGAATGCAGGGATCCAGTATAACCGCCCAGGCCTGGAGCTGTCAACCAGTTGTTTAAAAACAACCGCAAAATATATGAAAGTAATAACACTTCACGAAGTGCCGTTATGCAAGACAGCCGTACTTCTGAGGTACTTGAAGCCATTTAACGTACTTGAGCCTCATAGCATAGCTGAGATGTGCAGGTATCAGCTATAAGACGATTGCCACATGGTATCGTTTCATGCCCTGTCAGAAATCGGGTAGCATTACTCACACGCCGCTGTTGTTGTTAATGATGTCATTAGAAGCCTTTGGTGTGTTTATATCCTGGCATCTTGCTAACGCTCCACTCTTACTCGATGAATGGAGAAATCTATTAATTTTAATCACAATATTACTTTCCAAGACAAAAAGGTTACACATGGCGACGATGCAGAATACAAACAGAAAAGAGGATTGGGGATTTTCTTGCCATTGACTTAGACCCGACAGTGATGACTTCAATGCCTTGTCTATACTAAAAAGGATTCAACAGTATAGCTACACTGCTACAAAAAAACCCAAGTGTTTCTGCCGGGGGGGTTTCAGTTCCCCTAACAAAGTCACCTAGACCATAGCTACACTGCTACAAAAAAACCCCAAGTGTTTCTGCTGGGGGGTTTTCAGTTCCCCTAACAAAGTCACCTAGACCAGCAGAAGCCCCAAATGACAGTATGGATATGTCTACACTGCACGGCTATTTTGAAATAAGCTATTCCAGAATAATTCTTCCGAAATAGCTTATTTCGAAATAAGACATCTATACTGCAGGGAAGCCTCAAAATTAGTTCGAGGCAGGATTCCCTAATGTAGACATGCTATCTCAATTTAGAGCCCCAGGAGGAACTGGGAAGGAATAACTTAGAATGGCCCCGGGGAGAGGCTATTTCAAAATAGCAATTGTGGAGTGTCTACACACGCCTTATTTCATAATAGCTATTTCGGAAAAGGCGTTATTCCTCGTAGAATGAGGTTTACAGATTTAAGAATAAGACGTCCATTATTTCAAAATTATTTCGAAATAATGGAATATCTGTGTAGACGTCTGCATTGTTATTTCGAAATAACGGTGCAGTATAGGTGTACCCTCAAACTGCATGTGCATTAGGGCATTTGCCAGTATAAAAATATCACAATTGCTAGGCCAGAAAAGTTTCTAGTGTAGACCTGGCCTTATTCCTGCCTAAAGACCACTCTGTGTGATTTCAAATAGCAGGCGTTCTCAAACACATTTTCCTGAGGAAGGCAACTCCTGGACTCCACCACTGATGTGAATTGGTCAGTTCACATATTGAGTCTATCGACAGCAACATTTTTGATGGAGGGGAAAAGTTTATTTTACATTTGTGACACCCCCTTCAGAAATAACACCAAGGTATTCCCCTCACAGCTATTGGTGGCTGCATTCTACCATCCATGTCATAAAAAACCCAAACCACATAATCAGATTTTGGCCTTTATATGGAAACAGTTAAAGAGCAGAGTTTAAAACATCCTAATTCAAGCTATGTCTCTGCTACAGAGTTTTTGCTGAAAAACGGCCATTTTTCCACAAAAACTCACCAAGCGTCCACACCTCAAGCAGAGAGGGGGTTTTGCACAATAATTATTCCTCTTTCTACGAGGAATAACTCTTTTTTGCAGGGAGGAGGGGAACTGACTCTTTTTGCACAAAAAACCCGCTTTTTCAATGCGCTTTTGCAGCGTGGACGCGCTCTTGCGCCAGAAGTTTTTGCAGAAGTTCTCTTCCACAAAAAGCTTCTTGAGCAAAAAGCCTGCAGTGTAGACATAGCTTGTGTCCAGTGTAGAAGTGCATGCTCCCTAAAGGGCCGATCCAAAGTCCCTGGGAATCTTTCCTTTGTCTTCAATGGGATTTGAATCAGGGTCATCGTGAAGGAAACTTGTTTGCTCATTTTACATTCCGTGATTTTTCTCCAGTCGATTTCTTATTCTGCGGTATTCTACTGACAGACCAAGGAAAGCTATAGACTGAGGTAGACCATCCATCTGAACTGCAGATATTTTTTTCAGGGCTAAGCAGCAGGCAACGGGGTTATGCAAACTACTGTGTGCTGGCATTGTGAGAATGTGTTGAAATTTAGGTCTGGCCAAGGGTTTCGTTTTGGTGCACCCGACACAGGAAATGAAATGGATAGAGTCTGTGATCTCATCAAGTGTGAAAAGTAATTCAATGTCTTCTCTACAGTACTGTGTAAAATCTGAGTCCATTGAACGTATACCTCATGGCAATTGTTTCCATCTGTTTTTTCCCAAAGACTCTTTGCTTATAGATGTGTCTACATATTGGTAGGGGAAAACAATATTTCTAAGTGTTAACGTTCTTAAAAGCAACACTCCTCTATTTCATCTTCCTGGCTGGAAAACAGAGTTAATACAAGAATGATTGCTGTAAACTGATATTGGCTCAACAGCAGGAAAAATATACAGGCAAGATTGCTTTTTAAAAAATGTGGATTCACTTTTTCTTTTGTATTTTCATACTGTCTGGCAATCCGAAATAGAGCATGCTACTGTTAAAGTGAATTTTGAAGTCACTATAAGAAGGGAATATAATCTCAGTTTTCTTCCTTTGCAGTAGGCACTCCAGCCCATACCTACATGTAAAAATGTGTGAAACTTGTCATTTTTCTAAAGTGTTTGTATGTTGGTGGTTTATGCTAGAAGATATAAATTATTGTTAACAATGTATTATTTTTTGCTTTATATTATGCCATACAAAACTGGATATTTAATTAAAATCAGAATGACCCTTAAACAAAAATGCCTCGCCTACATTTTGTGTGCATCTAGTTTCACTGCCAGATGAAATTAAATATTGCCTTAAATATAAAACCAGATGAAAAAAATCTTCATTTCTTTAGATTAAGGACCATTTCCTCCTCTAAAACAAGTCAGAAAGTGCCAGATCTCTACGGCGGAAGCTAAAAGGTAACTCTTTCAAAATGTTCTTACTAAAAATACAGTAACTTTACAATCTCAATGCCCTTGTCTACACCTTAGTCCAAAATAGCCCCCCAAATTTGAATTAGTAAGTGGTGAGTCCACACTACAAAGCCCGTTATTTCAGAACAAGAGGCCGCAGAATTCGAACTCTGTACTCCTGCTTTTGATCAGGAATAATGCTAATTCCAAACTTGTATGTTTGAAATAACATTAGTGTGGATGCTCCAGTACCGGTAATTTGAACTAATGGGCCTTCGGGAGGCCTCCCACAGCTCCCTAGAATGTTTCCTGTGGCTCTGAGTCTGGGGTAGCGCGTCCACATTAACAGAGCCTGCATCGGACTAATTTCGGTGAGAACACACAAGTTCAAATTTGCGAAATCAGACGTTCTTAAGTCAAATGTAGTCATTTCAAAATAACTTGCTAGTGCAGATATGGCCAATATGTTTTTACGAGTGTCTCTTTACGTTTTGCTTCAGAAGAGACCCATGGAAAAACTGTTCTATTAGCTTTGTATCACCCACTCTATGCAGAACCATCCACCACAAAAACTAAAACTTGATAAGCCCCCTTCTTTGTATATTTCATTTGCAGTCTAATTGACATAAATGCTTCACCATTCAGCCCTAAGATATTCTATAATAAACCAGCATATATCTGGGATGTCAGGATCCTAATTTGAATGCTAAAAACCTTTTAAAGTGAGATATTTGCATATCTTAACTAAT